AGATCAGGGAGGAGGTTCCCAGTTCCCATCGGGTACTGGGATGGGATTGGGAGTTTAAACCTACCAGGACTAAGTGGGATCCCCAAACTGGCCCCAGTTGGGATCAGGGAGGAGGTTCCCACTTCCCATTGGATGCTGGGATGGGACCAGGAGCTTCCAGGGGGGGGTTAAACCCACCAGGGTTAAGAGGGAACCCCAAACTGGCTCCAGTTGGGATCAGGAGGAACATTCCCAGTTCCCATTGGGTGCTGGGATGGGACTGGGAGCCATCCAGGAGGGTTTAAACCCACCAGGACTAAGTGGGATCCCCAAATGGGCTCCAGTCGGGATCAGGAGGATCAGGGGGAACATTCCCAGCTCCCAGCCCCTTTCCCAGTTCCCAGTCCCATTCCCAGTTCCCAGCCCCATTCCCAGCTCCCAGCCCCATACCCAGTTGTTCCCAGCCCCTTTCCCAGTTCCCAGTCCCATTCCCAGTTCCCAGCCCCATTCCCAGTTCCCAGCCCCATTCCCAGTTGTTCCCAGCCCCATTCCCAGTTGTTCCCAGCCCCATTCCCAGACCTGCATGAGCAGCAGTCCCACGATGAAGGCGCTGCCCTGGCAATATCCCACCTCCCGATCCACCAGGGAATAGGCCTGGAAAAGGGACACAATTCCAGGGAAAGCCCCGGCAGGGAGCAGGGGATCCAGCCCTGCTCCAGAGGGGCCTCGGGGGGGGAACCTGGACCACGGAAAAGGGATTTTTTTTGGGTGGGAAACACATCCCGGGATCAGGACGTTGCTTAAAACTTGGATTTAAATCCCAAAACCCCTCAATTTTTGGTTTCTCAGCTCCAAATGAAGCTCGATGGGAAAAGGGAGGGTGGGAAGGAGGCGGCTCGGGGAGGGAAAGGGGAGAACTGGAGGGGCTGGAAGTTTGGGGTGGGGCCAAATCCCTCAAAAATGGGTTTGGGGGGACAGAAAAGACCCCAAAATTTGTGGTGGAATCAAATCCCTGAAAAATGAGTTTGGGGTGGAACCAAACCCCTCAAATTTTGGGATACAACCCAAACCCCTCAAAATTTGGGATACAAACCAAACCCCTAAAAAATGAGTTTGGGGTGGAACCAAATCCCTTCAAATTTGGGATAGAAACCAAGCCCCACCAAACTGAGTTTGGGATAGAAACCAAACCCCTCCAAATTCGGGATAGAAACCAAACCCCTCCCAGCTGAGTTTGGGGTGGAACCAAACCCCTCCAAACTGAGTCCGGGGTGGAACCAAACCCCTCAAAATTCGGAATAGAAACCAAAACTCCTCCCAGCTGAATTTGGGGTGGAACCAAACCCTCCAAACTGAGGTTGGGGTGGAACCAAACCCCTCAAACTTTGGGACAGAAACCAAACCCCTCAAAACTGAGTTTGGGATGGAACCAAATCCCTCAAATTTCGGGATAGAAACTAAACCCTTCCAAACTGAGTTTGAAGTGGAACCTCAAAAACGAGTCTGAGGAGGAACCAAACCCCTCCAAACTGAGTCTGGGGTGGAACCAAATCCCTCAAAATTCGGGATGGAAACCAAACTCCTCCAAACTGACTTTGGGATAGAAACCAAACCCCTCCCAGCTGAGTTTGTGGTAGGCCCCAAGCCCTGCTGACCTTCATGACGTTGAAGAGCACCTCCTGTCCCAGGCTGTCCTGGCCCTTGAAGAACTCGTGCTCGGGGTATGTGCGGGCGATGTCCCTCCTGATGAGCTTCTCGCAGGGCGAGGACATGCGCAGCAGCTCCGAGTATTGCTGCCGCACAGGAACCTCCCCCGCCCGGCTCAGCAGCTGCCACACGATGGCGCGGAAATGGTGCGGGATCCCCTTCCGGATCAGCTCCTGGGGGACATGGGGACATGGGGACATG